AGACAAATAATAAAATAGAACATTAAAATCGAGATGTGACTCGCTGCATTGCGCGAGTACTCTTCTAGTATTAAAAACCGACCTGGATGAGAGAACATTAATAATTTTAACCTTATTGATAATTTATGTTAGATAATTTAATTGAATATTAAATATAATATATATATATATATATATATATATATATATATATATATATATATTTGATATGATCATGAAAGTTTGATTGATAATATATTTGTTTATTTAAGTGAAAAAAAAATTGTAAAAATACAAGGACGTTTTTGTTTGTTTTGCGTAATGCTTACTGAAAAATGGAAAATAGACTTAAACAAGAGTTATAAGTGTATGTAATTGTGACGTAATGAAAGTTAAGATTGGATTCCGGTGAGAAGATAAGTTATAGTGAAAAACATAAGAAGAGATCTGTACATTTGAATCAATTCTAATTGAATGTCAATACTAACATGGTGCATCGAGATGTATCAAACCAATGCTCTTCTAAAACACAATTCATAGGTGGACATGAGATTAAAAGGGTTCAGATATTTTCTTACGTTTCTCACCATAACTTCCCTTCTCATATGATCATTCGTCTTGAAAGTTAATTCGGTTCATATTTTGTTGTTCTATCTGATTTTAAAACAATAATGATTTATATTTAATACATAGATATTGTATTTTTAAAATTTGTATAGATATAATAAGAAATACGATTATGTTTTTATTTTTTTGGTATATATTTTTTAATAAGTTGATTTAGAAGGTGTTTAGAATTGTTTATTTGAAACAACTTATGTTTTTCTATAAAAGCACTTATCAACTTATTACAAGTTAGAAAGGTTTAACTTCTTCAAAAAAAACTCTTTATTACCGGTTTGACACATGTATAAGTTGTTTATTCAAACACTTAAAAATGTTTATTAACAATATCACACCAAAATAAATCAATAAGTTGTTTTTATAAACAACTCAGAACTCCCCAGAATTACAAATTAAAACCCAAATGAAAAGAACCATGTATTTGGACCCCAGAATTTCGTACACAAGCATTTCGCCTTTCATGTGGTCTAAAGCTCTTAGAGACGTGGAGAATTTAAGACGAACAACAAAAAAGTGATGTGTTTGCTTCCAATAGTAGTTGGATTTCGGTTTCTCAAAGTATAATCATCAAGAAAAAGGACTGTTCAGTTCAGGAGAAGGAATGGCGTTGCAATTCAGCAGTGCCTGTAACTTTGCTTTGAGCCAGAAAAGGGTTGAGAGAATCAGGGCAGTTGCTTCGAACGATTTTATTAAGGTGAAAACCGAGGAAGATAAGCTTGTGAAGTTGGGTGGTTCTGATTTGAAGCTCACAAAGCTCGGGATTGGAGCTTGGTCATGGGGCGACACCAGTTACTGGAACAATTTTGAATGGGATGGTAAGTATGATTAAATTTTAAAGAGTTAGCCCACCAGGTGTTTGTTAAAATTCCTCTGAACTCAACTTTTTTAAGCTAATATGTTATGTTATCGATTGCTTTTTCTAATCAGAGGTGGGAGTTGGATTTGGTAGAGAATCAGCTTAGTTCTTTGTGAATTATTTGAAGATTTATTGGCACTAGCATATGTGGCGCTTGTTTTTCCTATCCATGTCATGTTATTCTGCAATTATATCTTACACCATGACCAATGGTGAACAAATTATTGAAAACCCCATGTATAACCACATCTTTTCTATGAGAATTAGTGTACTTGTATATAAAAAGGATCATTGAATTTTCAATGTGTTTGACTGCCCCATCCGGGTCATTGTTGGATTGAGTCCAGTTTGAATGTTGTTTTCGGGATGATGGCAGATAGGAAGATGAAAGCTTGTAAGAACGCATTTGATGCTAGTATTGATAGTGGTATAACTTGGTTTGATACTGCTGAGGTTTATGGCTCAAGGGTGAGAATAAGTGCATTACTTTTCTCCTTTCTGTTTCATGTAAATAAAAATCCATGCCATTAAAACCTCAATTACCTGTGTTTTCAGTTCTCATTTGGTGCAATAAATTCTGAGACGCTGCTGGGAAGGTAATCTATCTGAGTAATAGTCATCATTCTTTAGCATTCATTCTCTTTGGCTAAAAAAAATGCTCTAATTTTCCTGATTCCCAACGATTTCATCATATAGAAAGAATTTGGAAGCAAGTCCACTAGTAAATACTAAAAATGAAGTTGCCTTGTTGCTGACAACCAAACAAAAGACGCAAAATCCCTCACTATGCTTAGAGATTTACATGGTTTACCTAGTAGCACTACACCCATGGAGTAACCGCTAAGAAGCTTACAATATATGGAGAAAGCAACATAGCAAATGTAGAACCTACCCTTTAAAACAGATGGAGTAATATAGACACTAATACATATATAATCCTACTAGTTTTCTAACTCCTATAGAATCCCATTTCTTGAAGATGTAGGGCTCTGGAACTGGTAGATTTTCCATTTGGATTATGATTTCAATGTGAATTTAGTTTACTTTAGTTCTATTTAAGGCAATTCGCGTACATTTTGGTCCATTTAGGTTAGTTTAATTCAGATTAGGTTCATCTAGGTCTTACCTCTGTTAGGTCGATTTAGCTATGTTAGGTTCATTATTTAGGTCGATTTAGCAATGTTAGGTTCATTATTATATGAGTTTAGGTCCATCATTGTCGACATGCATCCTATACGTGAAGTTTGGTCAATTTAGGTCATGTAGATCCCTTTCAGATCATTTGATCCAGTTATATCTATTTAGATGTGTTATTCAAGTTCGTTTTGTTGAAATAAGGTATGTTTTAAATTCATTTAATTCCATTTAGGTCCAATTATTTCACTTCCATTTAGATCAATATGTGTCCATTTAGGTTTATATTAGTCCATCTTTGTGGTCAGTTTAGATCTACTTTAGGAACACTTTCTTGTATAGAATCCTGCAATATGCACTACTGTACAAGCATGTTTACTAATGTGGTGAGAAGAGAAGATAGTCTCGTATTCACTCCCATTTTATCTGCCAAAGATTTATCAAGGAACGGAAGAAAAAGCATCCAGAAGATGAGATAGCTGTTGCAACTAAATTTGCTGCATTGCCATGGAGGCTTGGGCGCCAAAGCGTCCTCTCGGCCCTTAAGGATTCATTGAGTCGACTCGAGCTTGATTCAGTGGAACTCTATCAACTCCACTGGTGTGTCCTCTAGTCTCACTGCCTGTTTTCATGTTGGTTTTAGAGTAATCAACTGATTTTTTGCTATGTACTTTCAGGCCAGGAATTTATGGAAACGAAGGTACGTGGTTGCATTAACGTATGACTCCTTGCATCCCGACACTTTCCTGTTCACAACATGCTGGTTTATGCATCAGATGTCTTCTATCTGTTACCAAAAAGCAAACTTTAATACCATATTTAAAGAAATTATAAATGAAATCTATAAAACGGAATGGGACAACCCTTTCAGGATATATTGATGGTCTTGGAGATGCTGTGGAGCAAGGGCTGGTGAAGGCTGTTGGAGTCTCCAACTACAGCGGTGGGTGTTCCATCTTTTTTCTCGTTAAAACCATGAGATACAATCCTAGGGTGTAGCCTTGTTGGTTCCAGGATGGTATACGTGCACAAACATTCAAAGGTTCGAGTCTGGCAACCACAATGTGGGAGTTACAATTCCTTTGGGGATCGGGCTCCTTGTGGGCACTGGGCTGGGCTCTCAAGCCAGCCATCTAGTGGCCCATTGTCTACTTGATTTGCTTCCACATGATGCTCAGGCCAAGCAGTGTGTGCCGGCTAAAAGTTACAAACCCTTTTGCACAAACTGTGACATACAGATGTTTGACGCTTTTCCAGTGACTTTCTTGTTTTAGAAGAGCGACTTCGTGTGGCTTATAAGCAGCTAAAGAAGCGAGGTATCCCCTTGGCTTCAAACCAAGTCAATTACAGTCTCATTTATAGGATACCCGAGGAGAATGGTGTGAAGGCCACGTGCGACGAACTTGGCATCTCTTTAATAGCATATTCACCCATCGCTCAAGGTTCGACTAGTAGTTTTGTATTTTTTTTTTCTTACAAACCTGAACCTTACATTGTCTTGATAAATAAAAAAGAACTGACCAATTGTGAAAATATATGTGGGACCCTTTAGATTACCCTAAAAGTTAGTCTTTGAAAAGAGAACAGGGGTTCCAACATATATCGAGGAGAAATGGTCCAAGTTAAACTGATGTGGGACAGTTTAACACAAATATAACTTACCTCTCCATAATTTCAACTCTTCCAGGTGTTTTGACCGGAAAGTATACACCACAGAACATCCCTACAGGACCTCGAGGAAATATTTACACTTCCAAGTTCCTAACTGAGGTAAGACCGCAAAGGCGCAATACTAGGCAAAACTTTACATGTTCATAATTACTCTTACATTGACTTGTTTCTCTGCAGCTGCAACCTCTTATTAACAGGATCAAAGAGATTGGACAGAATTACGACAAAACTCCAACACAGGTACATTTCATACATTCAAGACATCAGGCACAATGAGCCTTGACCACACCCCACGACGAACCATAGGGTTTGTTTGGTAGGGCATATGGGACTGGAGTGGACAGGTGAGAATGATGTAGGTTCGGTTGAAAAAATGATGAAAAGGTTCCAGGGTTTTAATTTGACATGGGTTGTTTAGTAATTTATTAATCTTTGTCTCATCTCCCAAAAATTTTGTTCCAATTATTTTGACGGTACAAAAAATGCATTTTTGTCCCACTATGCATTTTTGCACCAGTGGAGTGAATAAAAGGATCTATGGAGTATATTCCTTTGAAGTAGTTAGTGCTCTAATTGAGTGAGCCGTAGATCATAAATGATGGGCGTAGCTTAGTTTAGCTGATCTCCTTATGTCAAACATGGGACAAGTTTTTGTGATGTCTCATCCTATCTAGTGTACCAAGCACACCCATAGAAAATGTAGACATACTAAAACCAAACCAAATCAAATGAGCTTAGTATATCCCATCTAAAGAATGATTTGGTTCGGTATATCTCATCTAAAGATGGGTCTAGGAGGGGTTGGGTGCATGCGGCTCTGATATTTGTTCCAAAAAATAGAGCAGTTATTTTCATGAACATAGGCATTCTAAGATGTATATATTTCTGATATGGTGCAGGTGGCTCTCAACTGGCTAATAGCTCAAGACAATGTGATCCCAATTCCAGGAGCCAAAAATGCAGAACAAGCGAAAGAGTTTGGTGGGGCGTTGGGTTGGAGACTAACTAGCGACGAGGTTAACGAGCTTCGTGCATTGGCTTCAAAATCAAAACCCACGATGGGTTTTCCCGTTGAAAAAATGTAAACTAACAATGCCCATTTCATGTTTGTCGAAATACGTTAAATATATGTATATGCAATAGGTTCAGCAGTGCGTTAACTCGATCATATTTTCGGTAAAATCATAATACAAGAAACAGATTGGGACATAAGACAACATATACCAAGAATCTCCACTCAATCACTATATATATGATACATGAATGTGCATAAGACAATCTCAAAGGGTTTACACAATATTTCTATCTTCATCAATAAAAAGAAGAGAAAAGAAAACCATAAAAGAATCCGAAAAATTGACGAAAAGAATTTGAATGTAATCATTATTCCGTACCTCGATTGCAAATAATGAACAATGCAGACCACTACTCCTAATTATCTTGTACACGTTTTTGGCCCGAGAAAAGTTGTGACTAGCTACAAGATGGACGGCCTCCAGTTCTCGAGCAAAATATGAGGATTTTTTTATATGAGACCAGAATAGGGATTATAGGATTGAACTGGCACACCTGAGCCATAAGGGTGGGGGGTAGCCCCATATGGATTGGCAAAGGGGTTTGAACTTTGTTGTGGCAATGGTGGAGCCATCATCATCATTTGTTGTTGCTGCTGCTGGAACAAGAAAGCTTGCTGTTGCTGAGCCATGGCTGCCATTTGTATGTTTTGTGGTGCGGCTATGGCGTTGGAAGCGTAGAATGGGTCTGGTGCCATCTGTGATGGCATCATGGCTCCACCCATCCGGTTTTGTTCCCATGGGTTGTAGCTAACATTCTGGTTGGTTCTTCTGATTGCATCGTCGTATAGGCTGTCAAGTGTGAGTTTGTCCAGCCCTCCCGCCTAATTTTCATCCCCCAAAAAAAAACAAAAACCCAAAAATTAGTAGAAAAAAAACAACTAATTGGTGAAGGTTTCAGACATTTACAAGGCATCCTGTGAAAATTACAACTTGCATGCAGCACAAGCTGCTCATGAGTCATGACAGTTCATGAAAAACCAAACCAACACAGTGTATCTCACCAGAGACGGACCCATAATTTTTTTTAAACGGTGGCACCATTTGACCATAAGGAAAAAAATATCGAATTTTTTTTTTCAAACGGTGACACCGTTTGACTATAAGAAACAAATATACATAAAAAAAATTCAAACGGTGGCACCGTTTGACTATAAGAAACAAATATACAGAATTTTTTTCAAATGGTAGCACCGTTTGACTAAAAAAATGACACTAACATGATTCGTACTTGGGTGTGAGGTGGAATAAAAGCCTTGCAAACCAACTTTACCAAATAAAACTTGTTCTCATTGTAGTTTCAAAATACATACGGTGGCACACAACAAATTAATACGGTTGCACCATTAACGAAACCTAAATTTTTTACCCTTCGGCGGAGAAACGATACTGTGGCACGTGCCACCCATGGCACCTAACTAGGTCCGCCCATGTATCTCACTCGAAAGTAGAGTCAGTAGGGGTAGGAAATAGGTAGACAAGTCCTCTACCCAAACCAAATGAGACCACACTGGCCCAGTATATCCCACTTAAAATAGGGTCTGGTAGGGGTGAGGATGTCCTCTACCCCAAAGAGTAGAACGGTTATTTCCATAAAGACCCTCGAATTGTCCAAGCCTATGCAATCACTTGAGCCACTTAATGGTGATTGATAATTTACAATTCCCTCCATGATGACCTAAAATAAATGCAGCTTTTCCCTCTTTGGTAAATCTTAGATAGAAAATTACCTCTTTAATCATTAGTAGTCATTACAAGATATTGATGTCGCTAATTATGGTCCACAAAGTTCATCTATCTTGTTTTATTGAGAGGTGTTTTAGATATTTGACTAATAGTCGAGAAACTATGTGTCTGGTCAAACATTGTGTCATTGTACTAGAAAAAGCAAAGCAGAGCTATAACCATACCAGTTTGCTTGCAGATGTGGCACTCCCGTTAGAGCTTGGTGCAGTTACAAGGGCCAACTCCCATCCTGAGGTTCCGTTAACTGAAGTTATGGGAGTTGAAGCTGGTGGGTCAACTGTAAATTGCAATGGTCATCAAGAATAAGTTAGCAAGATAAAGTGTTTTGCAGATAACCATTTGTTATACTGGCAATTGGCCATTGGCAACCATAAGCTAAGCTTATTTTTTGCACTTATTATAAGAGCCTGTTTGGTTAGCCATAAGTTAGCTTTTACACTAGTTTTTTGAAAGCTACTTCAAGGAGTGTTTCAATAAGCTCTACGCGCTTTTCCAACTTTTTCAGATTTCACGTCCTTTTAGGTCATTTTACATTGTCAACTAGTTTATCAGCCAACAACTAGCTTTTCAGTTTCAGCTCACAGTTAGCTTATCAGCAACAGCTAGCTTATGAGCTAGTTTGCCAAACATGTTGTATATATTTATGTCATGTTTCTCCATCAATGGTTCTATATGAGACCCACTATCACATTTTTGTATCTTCTCGCATCATATAAATGCGAAACAAAATGAAAATATGAAACTTGGAAACAGACATGTTTACATACCAACAGGCACAATGGCCAAAGCCATGGAATTCTTCTCGTCAAATTCAGCGGCTTCTGTAACCGGATCATCCAAACTCTAGCGAAATGAAATCAAAAGTCATTCAGCAAGGATCCATGCATATTATCACTATGAAATCACAACATCCAGCCAGGATCCAATAGTTGGGATTTCTAGGTCTCAACAAAATTGCAATATTTTCCATTTTCTATTTTGGGAAGTTGCAATTACCTATTTGCTGAATGTCATTGTTACTAGAAAAACTAATACTGATTTTGGTCCATGAGATCCCTTATTATATCATTTTAGAAGGGTGTCTTACACATTTTACATACTCAAAACACTTGGTAAAACTGTCTGGTCAAACATCAACAGAGGGAGTATTGTAAAATAAGAAATACTATCTGAATTACCAGTAAATCTGGTGGTGGTTCAGAAATGGGAGTTTCCACTTGAGCTGGTTCAGGCACAGGCTCAGCCAGAGGTGGTGATTGTGAGCGTTTCTCTGGAACCTCTGCTTCTTTCTTGTATTCTATGGCTAAAATTCCTTTCGGTTTGTCATCAACTGCCTGCTTTGTTGACAATGTACAATTTAGCAGAATTTTCAAATTTGAAGATTCAGGAACAGGTAGAGAGAAATCCTACCAGATCTTTACGAACAGTAGAAGCACGAGGAGCTTCTTTCACATATTCTTCCATGGTTTGTAGAAATGAAGACGGAGGCTTCAATAATGGGTAATTGGAAAAAAATTAGGCAGTGTCAAAAGCATATCACAAAGAAATTTGAAAACCTTACAAGCAGACCATCATACCTGCTCGATCTTAATGAACCTTTCGCCACGTCCAACGTCAAAGTTTTTACATATCTCATAAAATTCAGACAATCTCTCGGCCTGCAAACGTGTATATAGAATCGCATAACCTATCTGCCATTTGATACAAACTTCAAAGGGTGTATAAAAAATTTCCAGAATATTACCTGCTGCCCAGCCCTCCTATATATATCCAGGGCCTTAAGAGCATCATGCCGTTGCATCTCAAAGAACTGTTCCACAGCAAAGTTCAATTATTAGAACTTGCTCATCAACATTCAAAGAACTCCAGATTCAGTAGCTAAGATTAAGGCTTACCTTGTCTACCAAATTCACTGAACCGTCACTAATTGCGTTGTAGATTTTGATACTTTCAGAGGCAACCTGAAGAAGCAGGAAGACATAGTAATACATGAACATGTCAAAGAGACAAATTCAAAGATGTGGTGGGTATATTGCCAGCAGCCACTACTAACCATAGAAAGTGCCAGCTGAATCACAAAGTTATGAACTGCTGCTCCTTGTGGCTGCATAGTACAGAAAATGAGGTTCAAATCTTATTATGATATGCTCAATGCAAGCAACAATAGATCACCGAACCCAACACTTGCATTAGAAAGCACCAAACTTTATGGTTTAGAACTACCCAAACTAAATAAGAATTTGAGACTATACCTGACAGCCTAAAACGCGAAATAAAAGTTGCTGCAGAGCTGGTAGTTGTTCAAGCAGCTCAGGAGTGTCAAGATCTTTTGTTCTCTGCATGATAATTTGTAACAGAGATGGTTAAAAATCAGGAAAATGTCCTCTAATTATATCTTGGTGGTCCAATTTTTAGCTGGAGCAGCCAAAGACATCATTCTTGACTTGGATCAGTACTTAATTTAATTTGATCAGAAAGAGACATAACCCAAATATTACAGAAACACCACTCCAACAATCATCTTACCGGGCGGTCTGTTTCAACGTCATATTTCAAGACTCGGAAGCACTCCAACCTCTCTTCCAAATATAGTGCATAGGTCCTAACCCAGCCAGAATAATCCCATGCTGAACAGAAAATCACAATATATTTTGTCAAGAATTTTATCGAACCATAGAGTTTGATTCATGACTACAAACATTTCAAGGTACCATTTGGACTAGAATCATCTTTGAAGTAAGACAAATTGAGCACATGGTTTCTACTCCTTCCATAGTTGAGAAGTTCCTCTTGAAATGTGGGATCCACCTCCCTCAAGGCCCGATGAATAACAATTAAAGTTTTCAAAGCAACCTGAATTAGAACAATATTCAAGTCAATGTCCACATGTACAACAACAGATAACAAATTTAACCATATGAGACTCAAAGAGGATCAACCCTATGGAAGCAGAATTATTATAGAACACTAAGCAATAGTCAACGAGGGTATGTCCATCTCTGGCAGCATCAAGCAATTTCAGATCATGATTCCCGTGGAAAATTTGAGAAATAAAAAGAAGCTAACGACATTTTGGTGCAAAGATGATCAGCCTTTTTATTTCTATTTAGAGGATTTGCTGACAAAATACTTCCTCAATCCTTTGCATTCCCTACTTTTGAGGGACGGTTTGGCTGGATTTAATCAGCTAACCATCCCTCTTAATGGTTCCTTCATAAGTATGAGAATTTGGGGAGTGGGAGTGCTACCCTTTATACCACCATATAAATATTGCAAGGGTAAAGTAGCAACAATACGCCCTTCTAAAATTCTTCCAAACTTAATAACAATTAAGCAGAAAGAAATTTTATCATATATCTTAAAATCAAAAATACAAGAAAGGATTGTTGCAATAGTTTACATGTATGTCTTGCTTTTTAAAGAATTAAAAGGGTATCTTATTACTAGCTAACGTAAAACAAACTATCATGCTATCTCGGCTAGAATGGATAGTATTTAATATATACTACCAAGTGAATATTAACTACTCTTTGAAATTAATGTACTTTATTCTTGAACATATAAGCTTTCTAAACATAATATCAACAAAACGAACAAAGTTATAAATTTATCAGTTTTCTAATAATATAATTAAGATATTTAAGCACGCGACTATAATTAGGTATGACAGCTGGTGCTTAATTGAACAAGGATATAACACCAAGTATAGAAAGTGACATGGATCTTTATTAAAAATTTCTATTTTAATAATATGTTGTGGATTCATAACATAATCTATCAGAACTTTGAAAAGCAAAGATATTTTATTATCATAAAATCACACTAAAAAGTTAATGGAAGGAAAACATACTGCCCAATTATGTGTCTTCGACAATCTTCTTGCAAGAGCATGTATGCAATAAGCGACATCAGCTCGAGGTCTTGTAGCTGAAATAGCTGCAAATATAGCTGCAACAAGGAAAAGCATCAGCTCTCCCTTGTATATATAGAGTACAAATACTGTTGTGATGCCTTCAATTCTAACTTAAACAATAAGTCCCTACTTAGTTGTAGAGATTTACTCTCCCATTAGCTGTGAAGCGAAGCTCCCTTCAAAGCAGTGGGGATCTTTAAAGGTCTACATTATTTCTGGCATAAAATACTTAAGATTATCTTAATCCAGCTACAAGGAATTTTTATGTTTAAATCAGAAACTTGGCAGGATTATATATGTTCAAATCATAATCATGTTAGTTCTCTCTTTCATGTTCTTTCCTCCAGATAGGGTATATTTATCTTCCTCTAACCATGGACCTAGCACTATTGAATAAACCAGTAAAATTGTGTTCTACGAGTGAGTGTGATTGGTCTCCCAACATATGCATCATGGTTGAAGAACACGAAAGTACAAAAGGGTACGGAGTATCCATAGGAAAACTAGCCAATTCCACCACAAGAGAATATGGAGTACCCACCACGTATATGCTTTTCTTTTGCCGGGCGCTCAACATGGTTCGTAGCCTTCACAATATTTATATCCAATTCCTACGGAATCCATACCAACAAAGAAAATTAAAGACAATCATATTGCATGAACAATCGTAAATTCTTAAGTAGATTCCAAATATTTGCCTACCTTGTAGTCACTACTAACTTTAGCTATATTGACAGTCGTACTGTCCTTAATTGCTCCAAGAGCTTTTCGTAAACTGTTTTGAGTTCCCCCACCCGACATTCTTCAATGCGGAAATCTACACTGAGCTACATTATTAAGCAATCAATAAGGGAATAAATTTAGGAAGACCAGCTTAAAAACACCTCATCATTGATTCATTTTAGCAACATCAACCCTAGTCTAATCAACATTATTGAAACCTATTTCTGCCTTCAATCTCAAGCATCAAGACTAGTAACAATCAAAAAACAATCATTTATACAAGTAGATCATACAGCTCAACTCAATAGCATAAATGCTTATACAATAAAAAACAAATCAAACGTACACACCTCCCTCCTGATTCTCTAAAGATATCAATCATCATGAAAACAAACTTCGAAATTTTGCTAACCAAATAAAAGTTCTTAAGAGATCCTGAAAACTACTATAGCAGATTATATACGTAAAGGATCGTTAAGAAAACCTAAATTATACACATACGACTGAAAAAGGGATAACCAAACACTTAATACGAACAGAGACAATTATACACACCCTGTATCTATTTTATAAGGTTGAAGAAACAAAATAACAAATCAAAAATTCAACAATTCAGGTCAAAACCAAAAACTAAAACCGGAAACCCATCAACTAAATTCATAATCATACACACCCTGTATCTAATTCACGGAATTGAAAAGAACAAACCAACGATGAGCTCCGTGACACAAAATTTGCTGTTTTTAGCTAGAAATACAGAATTTAGATGGATCATAAGGCAGAAATCGACTCACCCGAATGCTTTTCTAGAAAGAGAAAGTGAAGAGGGAGACGGAGAGAGACAGAGAGGCGTCTGGTGTGTGTGTGTGTGTCTGCACCAGGAAAGGTCTACAAAAACACAAAAATGGAAATGGAAATTCGTATTTGGTTGGCCGTCGGCGTCAATATTCCATACATATTAAAAAACATTTAAGACTACATCACAATGTAGTCCCTATTATTATCGAAAATGTTGGATCGGATCCCAAAACGAATTATTTACAAATACAGGTATTTTTTTGGCAAAATAAGGGGTGTTTGGGACTGTTTATTTGAAATAACTTGTGTTTTTTTATAAAAGTGTTTATTAATTTATATGATGGCAAACCATAGTTTTATAAAAAGTGTTTAGATTAACCTATCACAATACCACACCGAATAAGTTGACCTTTTTTCCTTATACAAACACTAGAAACTTTTTGTTACCGGTGTCACATTGAAATAAGTTAATAATTGGTTTTTTGAAACCTTCAACAAAATCAACCTATTTTACTCTTGGTTTTGTCAACATATTTGAAAACTCAAAGAAGAGTGTTTATGATTATGATATTTTGGATATAAGAAAGAGAAACCATGCTCGAAAGAGCAATTATAAATGTACAGATTCATTACAAAGTAAGTTTTGGTTCTTCAGAACTCCAATAAAATAAAAACCAATAACCCAATTCAAATGACGCTGATGAATTCCACTGGAGAAGATCATCGCGTTTGACTCATTAATGGAGTGGGTGGTGAAAATCTTGATAACAGGTGAAGAACAAAACCAATTTGGGATGGAAGGCTTATAACTGGGTGTTCAACATAAACTTCTAAGTAATTAATTAAAAAGACTAAAATACCCTTAATTTAACGAAACTAAACTTAGTAGAGTTAGGTTGAGGGACCTAATTAGTAAGAAAAGTAAAACCATAATGACCATTGTTGTAATTATTTTGTTTGAAGGATCGAATCTATTATTTTCATATAACTATGGTGACGAAATCTGTAATTTACTCAATGTATAATTATTAGTTAAATATTTAATATATGAAGTTATAAAATTATAACTCCATTATTTGAACCCCTTTTTGTAAGAGTAAACTACAATTTAGGTCCTTGTGGTTTATACCCAACTACGAAAGTCGTTCCTAGACTTCAAAAATAGAATAAGCATCCTTGTAGTTTACATTTTGCTTTGGAAAAGTTGTCGTTGGTCGCTAACTGCGTCAAAATTGTCAATTAAGTAAGAGGTATTTATGTCTTTTTACTTATTTTCATCTTTTTTATTTTGTCTTTACTCAAATCAAATGACCAAAATTGTAGTTTACTTTCTTACTTAACTGTTTTTTTCTCTTTATATATAACCATCCACACACATACAAACACAATCAAAATATATATATATATATATATATATATATATATATAGTGTGTGTGTGACCATAGGTTCATTTGAGAAGTAGTAATTATATTTGAGAAGTAGATAAGTGATCCTAGCCTTCACCTGGTCAAGATTTGTTGTTTTGACTGTGAAGTAACGAATAATCTCTCACATGGTATGTGAAAGATAGAGGGGTGATTTTGTAACTTTTACAAATAGGTGGTAAAACAAGTGCATGTGTGAACCTGTGTTATTCCCATATGAACTATATGTTCATATGTAGACTCGTGGAATTCACATATGAACTCGTTAATGGATTCATGTATGAATCTGTGTGATTTACATATGAACTAGTTAATTGATTCACATATGAACTAATTAATTTGTTCACATATGAACTAATTAGTTTGTTCACATATGAACTAATTAAATGATTCAGATATGAACTAATTAATTGATTCACATATGCACTTATGGGTTTACATATGCATTTGTTTTTGTAGGAGTTACGAACCTACCCTCTATTTTTCCCTTGACCATTCAAAGCCGCAATTCTTGACCAATCTTGACCGTAGGACTATAATCACTTATTTACTTCTCAAATACTTATCACTTCCCAAATGAACCTCTCCTCATGTTTGTGTGTGTAAATATATATAATCACACACAAGGCCAAGAATCATGTGAGAAGAGAAGTTTTGATGGGAAACATAAGAAAAGATTTGAACCTCTAATTACTTTTTAATCTCATGTGCACCCATGAATTGTGCTTTAGAATGTAATTAATCTGGTGCATCTCGGTGCACCTTATTAGCGTTGATGTTCAGTTAGGGATTGATCCAAGAGTGGAGATCTCTTATGTTCTGACCATAACTTCCCTTTTCACCAAAACTCAACCCTCACACACACAATACGTGTATATTATATATATATATATATATATATTATACATGTTGGAATGAGCAGAGAGGAAGATGGTACTTTTGATATATGTAAAGAACATCGTCCATGTGGGTGTATTGTGGTGTTTTTGACGATGAAGTAGTATACGTTTTCAATCTCTAAATATTTAACCCTCCATTAGACAATAGATTTGGTTTTGAGAACAAGGGTTTGATTCTTGTTATTCACATACTTTCTTACAAATATGTCTAGATTTTAGGTTCTTGTCACAACTTATATACCATCAATATAGTTATTTGCCATATAACGTAATATAAATACAAATACAAATATAAATGTAAACTATAATTTTGGTCCCTATGGTTTAAAAAAATACAAACAACATCCCTCAATGAATCAAAAAGGTAAAAAATATGAAATGCCCTTCAATTGACAGAGTCTTGACCAACAGAGTTAGACACAAGAATTATTTCCAAAGCAAAATATGAATTACATGAACTCGGTCTATACTTGTTAAAGTTTAAGAACAACTTTCATAATTAGGTGTAAACCACTGGGACCAAAATTGTAGTTTACTCTCTTTTCTATTATTTTCCTAACATATACTTAGGGACCGTTTACTAAACGCTTACTTGGTAAGCGCTTACCGAATAAATTTTTTTATCTGATGAACATGACAAAGACCAAGAATCTTACCGGGTAAGAGCGATGAGAAGGATGAAGAGTCTTACCCGATAAGTGAAGATTACGACTCTTACCCAGGTAAATGCTTACCCGGTAAATTGTTGCATTCAATACGTTTCGATGTACTGAAATCTTATTCATCAAAATAAATTATAGTGTTGACTTCTATAGGTAAGCACTTACCGGGTAAGTATTTAGGTAAACAGTCCCTTATCATTATTCCATTTAATCCAAAGAAAAATAATAATAATAACATAAACATTTCATAGTTGATGTAAACAAATACAAGTCAAAATATAAACAATGCTGTATTATTTGTTATTGTTGTTGTTTTCATTTTATTGTTAAAATAAAAAACATGTGCATTTTCTTATACACAAAAATCACTTTCAAACATGCAAACCAAAGTTTTTTTTTTGTACATTTTAATAGAATATAACGTAGTTATAACACGTCATAATTATCTTTATCATATCATTTATTTATGTTATGTTATTATGATAAAATTCATGCTAATAATTTACCTTTCTCACATTTTTTTCATTAACCTGGATATTTAATCTGTTATGCGAGCCGACTAATTCTAGAGTGATCATCTGTTTTGCAGGTACCTTGGAGTCACCGTATTTGAACCTCCGTAGCCACATGGAGATTTTTATTTTTCCTTAAATTTAAACTTAAGACCTCCAAACATTTTAGACATTTGGAGCCCAAAATCAAACCAATCAAACACCACTCTTTTTGCATCATCAATGAATTCCAATCTTCTTAAAAATTTAATGTTTTCAAATCTCACAAAAAAGTAATGTATTCAAAACTTTGGTTTTTTTTTATAATTTATATTTATATAATTTAATTAAACTTAAATACTAAATAACATAACTAGTATGATTATATAGTATTTAGAGTAAAGTATGAATTTGGTCCCTATGGTTTGTCAAAAATAACACTTTTCATCTTAACATTTTTGAAATTACACGATGACCATCATAGTTTGCAAATCGTTTTGATTTGGTCTCTTTCTCTAACAATTTAATGAGGAGTACTTCTATATTTTTATCCCCTTTTTTTCGTTTAATCAATCAAAAACCACATGAACCAAATCATAAAATCGATTTTGATAGATTAAAAGATAAAAAAAAATCGATAAAAGTATGAAAACGTCCCTTGTTTAATGGAATTTTAACAACCGTTAGAAAGAAAGACTATCACTTACTTACCGGGTAAGATTTTATTCACTAAAATGCATCGTATGCAACAATTTATTCCGGTAAGCGTTAACCATGGTAAGAGTCATCGTCCTCACTTACCGGGTAAGACTCTCGATTTCTTGTCTTCGTTCTTACCGGGTAAGATTTTTAGTCTTTGCCATATTCATCCAGTAAAGTAAAAGTGAATTGGTAAGCGCTTACTCGGGTAAGCATTTGGTAAACGCACCTGAATCCAAACATTCTTGCAAAAGTATAATAACCATCTCGCAACTTTAAAACTATAAGGACGAAAAGTGTTATTTTCGACAAACCACAAGGACCAAGCTTGTAGTTTACCGTTATAAAGAAACCTGTGATGATTAAAAAAATATGAAATATGAAAAAGGTAAATTAGAAAATTCCAAATCTGTATTCAATACGGAAAGAGTACGGTGGATCGACTACGGCAATAAATCAACCCCGTAGATATTACACATAAAATGCCAACCGTCGGATTAAAAATCAAGGACTCTGGCTTTTAGTGGGATCCACCCTGTCTTTAGATCTAGCGGTCAGAGACAGCTTTGCGGTGGATGCAAGAGACAGACAAAGTTTCTACCATTTGTTTCACTTTTGTACCTTTGAGAAATTAATATTGACAAAAATAGTCCCTAAACACTTTTCTTTGTGCCATTTTATTTAACTTTTTCACTCAAGAATAATCTTGATTCATAGTGACGATTTAGACAGAAATCATAACGTATAAATGTAGAGAAATATAAACAACTATTATACTAAAACCGAGAATGAACCCCCCATTATAGGGAACTGGTTACTAAAGATTGTGGCTACGGAGATTAAAATGCGGTGACTCCGGGCTATCTGCAA